CATGAAACCAAAATTATCAATAGTTTTAAAATATTTGAAACAACACAAATCTAATCCGACTCGAACAAAAAACACTTCGTTTGTATACGATTTCACAATTTCAATAATCAATAACAAATCTACTGTAATTGGAAAAAATACCTTTCTTATCTCTTTGACTCTTCTACGTTTTTAGGTTACGGTAACGATTAAAAAAAAATGTATTAGTGTTTAATAATTAGGTTTTAAAACTTATTAAAAATATCAAACAAATCCCTATATTTTCAAAATATTTATTTATTGCTTCAAAAACCAAAATTAATTTTAAAAAAAAATAAAATTCGTGTATCCAATTTTGGAAATACGTTTTTCCAAATCGGAATATTTAGGAAACGCGTTTCCATCGCATTTCCTCGCATTTCCGTTGCATTTCTGTTTCTGAAACGTTTTTGAAACGGAAACGCCACTTTTTCACGTTTCTATGTAGATCGTAACTTCTTGCAAAACTTAACAAATACAAGAAAGTTTAGCGCGTGGTTATAACGCGCGATATGTGCGAGTGTCATTATGGGTCTAGGCCCAATAGCTTATTCAATTACTGGGCCTAATAAACAGAGACGGAAGCCGAAAGGTCCGAAACTGGGTCACTTGTGATGAAAGACGACGAGGCGAGAAACTGGTCGGATCTTCCGCCGGAGCTGACGTCTTCGATTCTTCTCCGGCTTGGTGCGGTTGAGATACTTGAAAACGCTCAGAGAGTATGCAGATCGTGGCGACGCGTCTGTAAAGACCCGTCGATGTGGCGGAAAATCGACATGCGAATCCTGGGAAATCGCGAAATCTCAGGGAATGTCTGCGGTGAAATGTGCCGTAACGCGGTTAATCGTAGCGACGGATGCTTGGTAGAAATCAACATCGGCAGCTCCGGCACCGATTGTCTCCTCAACTACATCGCCGACAGGTTTCGTATCTATTCGTAAACCCTCGCTTCTACCTTTTTTAGATTCGTTACAAGCAAATTCTGTAAATGTGTTTTGAGATTTGATTTCTAGTAATTTTGAGTGTCAATGAATTATTGAATGTGTTTTGTTTCTTTTACTAGTCCAATTGTTAGTCTTATGCTTCTGAGTTGATCAGTACTATGAGAATTGTTCTTCTTAGTTCTTTGATTTAACTCTACACGAAATCATTGCAGATCACCTAATCTGAGAAGCCTTGGACTTGCAATGAACTTTCTAATAACGAAGGAGGGACTTATGAACGCAGTTTCAAAGCTTCCGTTGCTTGAAGAGCTCGAACTCGAGGCCTCTAACATATGGTCAAAACTGGATATGAAAGCTATTGGCCATTCTTGCATAAAGCTAAAGACATTGAAGCTAAACTGCACAGGTTCCAGGATCTCTTCTTGGTACGC